AGCGTATTACTTGGCTTTATCGATCGTTACATCCAAACTGCTTTGTCCGACGCCGTTGCTGCCGACAATACTGCTGAAATCGTCGCTCCATTGCAGTCCTATGGGACGCGACCGGCCCTCTCGAAGTGACGTGGCGTCTTGGGGATTGCTGCGGGGCCAACATTCGAAGGAGGACTGCGGCGGGTACGTCCGGGGCAGCTGAAAGATGCTGTAGCACCTCCGAAAAGCCTCACCCGAGCGTCGCCGAGGTCAACGGCTACGCCAGGGACTGCCAGCATCGCGGCCTCCTAAGCCGAATGTCCGCTGCGCCCGTCGGTGAAACGTATATACCGAAGCGACCGTCTTCTCTAGCCACGTATGCAATGGCAGCTCATCGCGCATTCCTCTTGCATTACAGCTTGTGTGTTCGAGCCTTGTCATACGCCTTGCACGCGCCTGTTCCGCGAGCTTCTTCATCCACTTCATCGTCTTCGTCTTCTCCTTACTCATGACAAACCTCCGCGCGTGACGTCAACAATTTCAAAATGTATTTTTCGAATTTTCGCGACATGGGCTCGATGAGATTTACTGAAACTTCGATTGCTCGGTCTATGGTGCCCAAAGATGACAAAGTACTTCTTTTTTATTGAGTAGAAGTTACGTAGGACAAAGCAAACGCCTTCAAAATATGTGAAGTCATGGTGTTTGGTGCGGCTATCTCAAGGTGGCGTCTGCATCCATATTCCCTTACGCGCATTTTCTCGCTTACCAAGCTCCATATCGCGGTAAAAGTGGAGTTCTCGGGAGTGTGAAACTGTACTTTACTCATACGCAAAACAATGTTTCTTTTTTTTTCTTTTTAGGGCCCCTTTAAGCCGCGTAACCCTCGAATTGGGGAAACTGCACAATTCTGAAATTTAACACTGCTGCATCCACAATGTTATTATGTTTTAGCCAGGGGATACTAAGCTCTTTCTAGGTTGCTTCTCAGCGCAGAGAATTAAACCACAGGAAGTCGAAGGCACGACACGGACGTCGAAACTCCATAAGCGGACACTAGAGCCCGAAACCAAGCGTTCGCACCTCGACGGCTACCCGTTCCCTATAGTACTCTCGTTGTACACGCGCACTCGGGATAGGGTGGCCACCCCACTCGGGGTCTCCGGCTCGCCGCCATCGCTTCGCAGTTGTCTGTTAGGCTAACTCCTGCCGTCTCTATTTGTTTATATTTTGTGGAAGTCGTGTACAGTGATATTGGACAAATTTCTGTGGCGCAGAATCGTTCTTGATGTTGACTTTGTTTTGTACGGGGTAAAGGAGAAACCATTTCCTAAAACGTTTCGCTGTTAAAATTATTGGGTGCCCCTCTCTTGACGAATTTTCAGTACAGGGCGGATGACCTCACGCTTATCACTTTCCAAAATATTGCCACGCGACATTGACACATGGTTGGCCTCATTACTAATGGCAGTATTAGTCGGGTCATATTGACGGAAGGCTTAGAAGTACCGGACATACATATGCAGCGCCTGTTGCGAAGACAGCGCACGGTGGCTTCATCTTGTCGATGAACGCGAGAAGTGTGTATAACAACGATTGAAGCACTGCGGTGATTGCTTTGTCTTCCACAGACGGCTTCTTATTCGGAGGTTCACAGTTCAATGCATTAAACCGCGGTTGATGTGGCTTTCGCTCGGCCTACGTTGTCGAAGACACAGCTATATACCGATCGGCGGAAGCCGGTACAGACCAGAACATCTAGAAAGGCATGCACACAATTGACGCAATTATGCTCCCATCGCCGAAGTCACACCACTCGCAGATTGACGGTGCGTGCGCATCTGTAATTATTGCAAACTTAAAAGGAATACTAGGCCTCAAAAGAATACGCAGCGCAGATCACGAGATTTAGTAGCGGCCCCTTAACAGTCCGCCGTGCAGTCATAACTATTTGAGGACGATTATACGCCGCTAATACTGAGCGCAGGAAGTAGTACTTAGTTCTGCACAAGAGAGAGAGATAAAACAGAAATGTAGAAAACTAGACTATTCCCAGCTTGCTAACCCACTCACGGGGAGGAGAATAAGGCAGCAAAATAGAGAGGGAACGAGAGAGAGAAGGAGAGACACATTGCACACCACATACACAGGGCAGGCTTTCACAGACCGTGATGTGCACACTGGTGTGCACAAATTTATCAAAATTCTCAGGTTCGTTATTAACGAACCAATAAATTTCCAAGAACGCACATACTGGTATTACGGACACTTTGCGTGTGTGTATATGAATCGCCACGGCAATATCAGAAAACAGCATCAGAAACAATAGTCAGGTAGACCAGTGCTGTCAAAAGCACATTCAGGGTGTCGCTGGGTGGATATGAAAAAAAAAAAAAAGTCAGAGCTGAAGCAAACAGCGGCCAAAGTAGCTATGTCGTTAGATTTTAACGACAAATTTAATAGACGCGGTTTTTACTCAAGAAAAATAAACGATACTATGTTGAATAAAGAAGACCATAGGAAAAAGAGCACATTTCCGCCCCCTCCCTCGAATTTGGTCTTCAAGCGACAGATAAGTTGTAAATTAAATAATAAATTATAATACGTTCAGTGCAGCATGCGTATAGTTTATTCAAAATACTTAAAGTGCTTAACAAGTACAGACATAGAATTTAATTAGTAGAAATACATAACACAAATCCATCTTCAGATTGTGAGATCTAGTTGAGACCAACATTGCAGATTCATGCTGCCGTGGATCCCTTGACCAATTCACACGAGAGCACACGCTCCGCATAAGCATCGAGAGGGCAGCGTGAGTTGCGTGCAAGTTACACGATTACCAACACGCATTTAACTTAATATCTTAATAATGATAATAATAAAGTCACAGCTTTGCTGCAAAAGCGTAGCAATGAACCCGATAGCGACAAATTTCAAGGTCACGAGCAGAATGGCGAGCTTATCGAAACGTGCCCCGCGTTTCTCACGCACAAATAACGCACGAAACGTACTCACAGGTACAGATGAATGCGAATAAGCGTCTCAGTTGTTACTTCGCTGTGTCTGAAAATCACGCTCTTTTCGCAAACTGAGACTGTCCAACGACGCTGTGACCTTTGCGCGCCCAGTAACTGCAACACAATGGTTTCGGCAAAATCCAAAGGCTAGCCAAGACGTACGATACTACCCACTGCGGGACAAGGGCGCGTGATCGAGCGTCCACCCCCTCCTCTATGCGGGGCAAAGTAGGCGTGAGATATGACCGCGCACCGCCGCGTCGTGACTATGTGACGACGCGCACTCAATTCGCCATCTTGCTGGTAATTCTGAAAAAAAAATGATGATTCCCCTCGAGATGCCCAGCACCAGTGGTAAGTGGTAGATATAAATAGATTGCCGTTTGAACGTTGAGAGACATGCTGCTCCGTAGCTCAGTGGTTAACGCCTCACACTAACGTCTCAGTGGTCTCAAGTTCGATTCCACGCGCCAGAACCTTTCTTCTATTTTTTTCTTTCTTTCTAGCGTTGCCATATATATATATATATATTATATATATATATATATATATATATATATATATATATATATATATATATATATATATATATATATATATATATATACACGGTGAGTGACGCCGCCACCGGCGGCGGAATCAAGCCAAGAGTGTCCATGTTCATATAATTGCTATCGCAATAATAGTAATAATATGTGTGGTTTTACGTCTCAAAACTACGATATGATTATGTGCAGAGGGCTCCGGAAATTTCGACCAACTGGTGTTCTTTAACGTGCACTCGTCGCACAGTACACGGGCCTCTACCGTTTCGCCTCGAGCGAAATTCGACCGCCTCGGCCGGGATATACATACATGTAACATGGCCTCTTCGTATTTGCAGGCGTGTGGAGCGTTGCATTGAGTGCCTCGATGTGCGCACGTCCTTTTGAGGGGAGGACGCGTGCGGGCATTGGCTGATACGACAGAACAGCTTGCCAATAGCGCGTTTTATGTACAAATAATGCAGAAAATGGCTACTTAACGCGCCACAACAGACGTCAAAAGCAGCCATAAAGGGAACATGGCGCCATTCTGAAATTTTTCTTGCCAGAAGGAGTCGTAAAGTACCTTCCAGCAGTAACCCTGAGCACGCCCAACGTTTGGAAGCGCCCACAATCATATTGAAAACGCAGCTCATCTCAAGAGTCGCACGTGTTGCGAGGAAAGCCCACGCGGCTAAACCCGGAATTCTCTAGGACACTTCTCGGAGACCTACAGCAGCGAGAGATGCACAAGCGCGGTTGCCATGGGTACGAAAGCTTCACAATCCAGGCGCTTTTTTTTTAATAAATAAAAGACAATAAAAAATTCATAACTTCAGTCCCCTTTGCTGGCGGACTAGTACAAATAACTGAACAAGAAAGTATACAAGCCGCTTTTTCATCGTCTAACGGCTTTGTAGTAGTCAAATTGGCGCAAAGTAGCCAAACCTGGCATCTCTGATAACCATCTGTATTCTGAACAATATTAACATCGACCGAATTTTATAATAACACACCGGAATTTAATTCAACCGTCACACAGGGCAGTGCACATCAACCGAACCGATTTCAAAATCGTTCCCTACATTAGCGACTGCCTCTTCATGAGCATGCATGGTCGGATCCCCGGCATTTTCTGCAAACACGCGCGGTTAATTTTCTTTTCTTTCTTCAAACTTTGGCAGCACACTAAGACTGTTGTCTTCTTTTTTGGGGCATAGCACATGTGGACCATGGCACAAGCTATCGAATCGTGATGCGCAGGTACACAAAACGAAATCACCATCAGGGTCAAATTCATCACGAATAGCTAAGCACTTAGACGCTCTAGAAGAACACTCACGCTTTGCACACATTGGCGAGCCCTTCATATATTCGGTAACCTGTTTTATAGCTATTTGTACACGGCAAAACAGATAAAACTTTTTTTCTTTTTGTTTCAGAGGACACAAGTCAGTACAGACTATACTTACAAAGCGTAACTTTTGGTCACCAGGCGTCTGTTTCCGAAGCCGATGTGTTTTCAAGCCGTCACTCTACTGTTGTGCCTGCTGCTGTCGACCGTTGAGTTTTCCTGCGATCAATACACGAAAGTCTATTAAAACGGTCGCTCGAGCCAAAATACGGCAATCAGTTTTCGCTATTGCGATGAAGCTGAATTGCGACGAAATTATCGTGAGTGTCCATGTGTGTATTTTTGTGTGTGGCTGCTTGCGTGTGTGCTTGTTTATGTATCTGTTCGTGTGAGTCTGTGCGTGTGTGCATGTCTACGAGTGTGTGTTTTGTGTGCGTGTGTACGTGGTTGTGTATGTGTGCGTGTGTGTGTGTGTGTGTGTGTTGTGTGTATAATTACGCTAACTCGCGCAAACTACCACCCACTTCGGAAGCAGTAAGACTAGCTTCCTCTCTTAACACACAAGTTATTAAATCTTACACCATTCGAACTTTATTTTTGTTTTTTCAAACGATAGCGCGCTCAAGACGCACACGCAAAAAAAGCGCGCGGTGGTGAATTGGTAATGCAAATATATCATAGACTCCAGAACTAACAGGCCGGAACAAGCGCTTATACTATCAACTGAAATTTCTGTCGAACGGAAACATACGTAAGCGGGAAAAGTGTACACATCCAACTGAATATCGAAACAACTGCACCAAAGGGTAACTTGACAGACAATGAACCATGATCTTTGCGCGAACAAAAAATATAACCAGGAGTTCCAATGACGGATAGCACATAACCAAAATGTAAATCACAACGCTGATATAATTTCCGTGAAAGAACAACGCGTGGTTGTAACTAGGTTTTCTACTCCGCTCACACTTTCCTCCACAAGTCCGCCCCACGAGTGCGGTGCCTCCGAAGTTTCAGTTGTCGTCGCCGCCATACAGGAGACTCGGCGCTATGGCGACGGTTGCACTCGCGGTACGGGCGCACTCTTCCCCCCCCCCCCCCCCACACACACACTCCCATCTACGCACGCACGCACACACCATCAGGCACGCGCGAACACACACAAGACAAACACGTACACACAGCCACGCACACGCAGAGACAGACACAGACATACCCACGCACACGCACACATATATATGCGCGCACACTCACACACGACGGCACATGCACACACACAAACTTACACGCACAGACACACACACACGCACAGACACCACACACACACACGCATACTTACACACACTTACACGCACGCACACACACACACACACAGACACACACACGCACATACACACACACATGCACGCACACTCACACACACACAGACACACACGTACACACACACGCACGCACACACGCACGCACTCACGCACACACACACACACACATACAGACACGCACGCACTCACAGACACACACACACACGCACATACACACACGCACACACGCACACAAACAGACACACACGTACACACACACGCACGCACACACACACGCACTCGCACGCACACACACACACACTCACACACACACATGCACACACACGCGCACGCACACACACAGACACGCGCACGCACGCACACACACAGACACACACACGCACACACTTACACGCACGCACACACACACAGACACACACGCACATGCACTCGCACGCACACACACGTACACACACGCACACACGCACACACACGCACACACATACACACACGCACGCACACAGACACACACACATGCACGCACACACACACGGACACGCACACACAAAGACACACACGCACACACAAAGACACACACACATACACGCACACACTTACACGCACGCACACACACAGACACACGCACATACACACACACGCAATCGCACGCACACACACACAGACACACACGTACACACACACACGCACACACACACGCACGCACGCACACACACGCACTGACACACACACATACACACAGGCACGCACACACACAGACACACACACATACACGCACACGGACACGCACACACACAGACACACACGTACACGCACGCACGCACACGCACGCACACACACGCACGCACGCACACGCACACACACACGCACGCACGCACGCACACGCACGCACACACACACGCACTCGCACGCACACACACACGCAGACACACGTACACACACACGCACACACACACAGACATACACGTACACACACACACGCACGCACACGCACACACGCATGCACACACACGCGCACACACAGACAGACACACACAGGCACACACACATACACGCACACACACGCACATACACACACGCACGCACACACACAGACACTTACACGCACGCACACACACACAGACACACACACACGCACATACACACACACATGCACTCGCACGCACACACACACAGACACACACTTACACACACACGCACACACACATACACACACACACACACGCACGCGCGCACACACACAGACAGACACGCAGACACACACACATACACGCACACGCACATACACACACGCACGCACGCACACACACAGACACACACACACGCACATACACACACACATGCACTCGCACGCACACACGCAAACACACACACACACACACACGCGCGCGCACACACACATACACAAACAAACACACACTTACACGCACACACACGCACGCACACACACAGGCACATACACACACGCACACACACACAGACACACACACACGCACACTTACACGCACGCACACACACACACACGCTCACGCAAACACACGTGCACACACGCGCGCACACACACAGCCCACACATACACACACGCACACACGCACGCACGCACACACTTACACGCACACACACACAGGCACACACACAAACACACACACAGACACTCACACACACAGGTGTACACACACACACGCACGCACACACACACACGCAGACAGACACAGACACGCTAATGCACAAGCACTGCATCCGTCTGGGACCAAGACGAAGCAAATCTTGAATTTTTCTTGTGCTACGATGACCCAAGTGGGTTAAAATATAGCGAAACTCGTGACGTCAGGACAGCATATTGGCCCTCCCGTTTTAACACAAAATTTAATAGGTGTACGTCATAGGACGCCATTGGCTAACAATTGAAGCTTCCCTGATTAACCAACTTGCATAGAAATTTCAAAGGGCATTTCGCCACTGGAACTTTTTTAGCATTGTGTTTCAGCGTCCGGCTAACAAAAAGATAAGAAAAACGAGTTTACCTTTTTTTTTTCGTACATTACCAGCGGCGTAGGGCGCAAACACACAAGACTCTCGGTACCTGTGTTCGCCGCGATTCTAGGCAGCCGCGACGAGCCGTTCCAACTAAAGCCACCACGCGGCGCTAGTTGTCCACTGATCTCCACAGTTTTCCCTTCGATAGTTCTGCGGAAATCACGGGCACACAGTTCGCTTCTGCGCCATTCAACATGCACCCCTGGCTCCTTCTGACCGCAACTTCGCTACTGAATTTTCTTCATCTAACCACTCCTCAGAATAACGGTAAGCGGCTGCTATGTTTAACGATAAAATCACTGTCATCTTTTATTTCCCTTAAGCCCTTCCCCAGCACAAAGTAGCAAGCCTGTCGAAGAACTGGCTCAACTCCCCCGGTCTTAACGTTTTTCTCATACTCATCCACTCGAATAGTGACATCCCACCGACGGTCGTTCAAGGTAAAGAAAATATATAAAATGGAAGCGGGTCAGCCTATTATATATGCGTATGTATATTAAAGAGAATCAGCGGATTGACAACGGTAGCACTGTCACCCTTACGGCGACAATGCTGGCATTAGAGGAGTAGATAGATAGCCTAGACTAGCCATCCAGCATTAGGAGTGTAGCCAGAGGTAGATGTCCACGGAATGGAGGGGGGAGTGGGGCGTGAGCCACGCTTTATATATGTTCGTGCGTGTGTTTTATGAACGTGTACACATCAAATGAAAATTTGAAAATTTTCGACGAGGTTTCAATTTTCTCTTTGCACCCTCCTTTCAACCTATACAGATGGCTAGCATTAGCCACAGTGCAACAAAACCATGCTATATTTACTTATACTAATTTAGCATTCTTAATCAGCCGCATTTAACATGCATTTTGCAGATGTGCACAACATGGGACAATTTCGGCGAAAGTATATTTCGTTGAGCAATGATAGCCATACTTTAGCCTACTCTAGCTGCCCATCGTCAGACGGCAGCGCATAAGGGGAGAAAGTACGAAAGAAGGAACTGCCTACAAGGATGGGCCATGTTTCGTTCTTCGAATGTTGTCCGCTCTTACGCCGCCTTGGAGATCAGTCATCAACTTTCGCTCACAGACTTGACATCAATTGCCAGTTGCCCAAGAGAAAGATAGCAGAATACGTATAAATGGGGTGACGTGCTTGTTGCATCCAGTTAAACACGGCAGGCCTGGTACACCTTTGACAAATCAGGGTACCGTACGCTAAGACGCGCTCTACCATAACAGAAGAAATGACGCAACTGTTTCCGGTTCGTAGGTGTTCCTGAGGTAATGCCATTCTCCTTTTCGAGAAATGCCGTGATGGGGAGAAAGTCGTCGGTCACCTGCGCCGTATCCAGCGGTCAGGGCCCCTTCCGATTCTCGTGGCTTCACGACGGAAAGCCGCTCGATAGCCGAGGAAGAGCGACGGTCAAGGTGGTTACGGACGACATATCCGTGATGACGATCGACAGCGTGACAGCCGAGGACCTGGGGAATTACACGTGCGTCGTCTCCAACCCGGCAGGAACCGGAATCCACACCGCTGCACTTCACGTAGAGGGTAAGCCACCGCTTGAACGTGCCCCTGGAAACGCTTAACCATTGCTGCCAGAGTGATTCTGCAGATTAATCTACGATCGCACACAGAGAACAGGAAACCGCATCACAACAGGTTTCTTTCTTTCTCTTCAGTGCTAGCATTTTCTTGCTCTTACCGCTTCTTATGCAGAGTCAACTATCAAAATAAAGTTTTTTAAATTTTTTACGAGTTTCTATGTAGCCATGATGACGACATTCGCTACAAAGTTTACGCAATCTCACCACGCAGAGTGATGCGTTCTTCAAGCCGTTCAAAAGGTATACCAACCGA